CATCTCGACTTTATTTCCTACTTTCACCATCTCGACTCTATTTCATACTTTCACCATCTCGACTTTATTTCATACTTTCACCATCTCGACTTTATTTCATACTTTCACCATCTCGACTTTATTTCCTACTTTCACCATCTCGACTCTATTTCATACTTTCACCATCTCGACTCTATTTCATACTTTCACCATCTCGACTTTATTTCATACTTTCACCATCTCGACTTTATTTCCTACTTTCACCTTCTCGACTTTATTTCCTACTTTCACCATCTCGACTCTATTTCATACTTTCACCTTCTCGACTTTATTTCCTACTTTCACCATCTCGACTCTATTTCATACTTTCACCATCTCGACTTTATTTCATACTTTCACCATCTCGACTTTATTTCCTACTTTCACCATCTCGACTCTATTTCATACTTTCACCATCTCGACTCTATTTCATACTTTCACCTTCTCGACTTTATTTCCTACTTTCACCATCTCGACTCTATTTCATACTTTCACCTTCTCGACTTTATTTCCTACTTTCACCATCTCGACTCTATTTCATACTTTCACCTTCTCGACTTTATTTCCTACTTTCACCATCTCGACTCTATTTCATACTTTCACCTTCTCGACTTTATTTCCTACTTTCATCATCTCGACTCTATTTCATAGTTTCACCATCTCGACTCTATTTCATACTTTCTCCATCTCGACTATATTTCATACTTTCACCATTTCGACTCTATTTCATACTTTCACCATCTCGACTTTATTTCCTACTTTCACTATCTCGACTCTATTTCATACTTTCACCATCTCGACTCTATTTCATACTTTCTCCATCTCGACTATATTTCATACTTTCACCATCTCGACTCTATTCCATACTTTCACCATCTCGACTTTATTTCCTACTTTCACCATCTCGACTCTATTTCATACTTTCTCCATCTCGACTTTATTTCCTACTTTCACCATCTCGACTCTATTTCATACTTTCTCCATCTCGACTTTATTTCCTACTTTCACCATCTCGACTCTATTCCATACTTTCACCATCTTGACTCTATTCCATACTTTCACCATCTCGACTCTATTTCATACTTTCACCATCTCGACTCTATTTCATACTTTCTCCATCTCGACTATATTTCATACTTTCCCATCTCTACTCTATTCGTTCTGGATAAACGTTGTATGTTGTACGACTCTTGTGACGTATAATATACACATCCATGAAATAAAACACTACGTAGTAGGGACATTTTACTTTATTTGACTATATTTGTTTCCGTTTCAATCCAAAACAGATTTGAGTACAAGAATTGCAATTTAGTCATGTTAACAGGGAACAGAGATAAACTATACAAAACACTTTTAACTAGAGAAATAGAACCCAAGTCACATTTTTGTATTATTTCATAAATAAATATGTAAAAACTGTTGTACAGCAAACAATTAGTGTTTATAAATAACTATCTCTAAAACATAACAGAAAGTTTTCTCTCTTTTTTTTTTACCCGTACAGGTATGCACGTTTAAACGCAGAAAGGTCGATTGATGTACAACATGTTGAAATAGAGTAAATTTGCCATCTATTATTAGGGTTGTCTACGAAGTTCTTTGTTAGGGTGATGTCAAGCCTTAGTTGTCGCTTCCATCTGCACCCTCCGTCTCCGTCTCTTCTTCACTATCATCGTCATTCTCATCCTGATACTGGAATAACCCCTCGAATTGTATACCATGTCTTGCTAAGACTCTTTTCACGGCTTTCCGAAGATTCATGCCATTTTCTACTTTTTCCGTGAGGTCAGACATAATTTCATGATTGATGTCAGCTCTTCCAAGGTACACGTTCTGCTGCAAGAAGTTGGAGTAAAGATCGAAAAAGCTGCGTTTGACGGCCCATAGAACTTTAACGTGAGCCTTTTATTTAGCTTCTTCTTCATCCATTCCATCGGAGACATATTTTTGATATTTTTCGTCCCTGAGATCCTCGGTGTTTGTCATGGACTGTTCTAACCATTCTTGATAAGCAGGGTTGTCCTCAGGTTCATGTCAGGTGTTTCGGATTCATCCTCTCCTTCCCTTTCTGAATCACTTGTTTCAGATTCATCGCTAAATTCTACAACTCTTTGCTTTTTAGAGGGTGGTTCGGAGAAATCATCTTCACTAGCTTCTTCACCAGCGTTGGAATCTTCAGTCTCGTACCCATGATCTTTCATATCAGGATGTATATTCTGTCCGTGCCTCTTCATGTCGAACTTGCGACTATAGGTCCTATCGCAAAGTGAACAAGCGTAACGCTTGGACATATCGAAAGTATTCGTGTTGACTCGTTGGTGTTTAACTCACAGTCCAAAATGACAAATCCCTAATTAAATTCGAAAAGTCAAGACCTCAACAAAACCCATAGACACGCGTGTTATAAGTCCGTTTTTTCTCCAAAATAGACTATGTCAAAGTTAATGTACACGAGTCAATTAGAAATAGTATAAGTACGAAAATATTCGTGTACAAAACCTATGGCCGTCCGCCTACTCACTGCTATAACTACTGTGGTGTGTTCATGGGAGTCAGGATGAGGTGATGGTACTTGTAATGTCTATGTTACAAACTGTTATTTTTTTTTACATCTGTGACTTTGAATAAAAACCTTCACCCCACATTTCAGTTACCATTTACCTGAACAATAACTAGCCGACATCTTGGACATTCCTTTTGTCAACAAACCGTATTTGAATATTCAATTTACATAAACCCTACCACAAATTTCTCTCAGCAAACCCAAACTCATCACAATCGATCATAAATTGGTCATATCATCCTCCATTCCAAAGAATTTACCCCTCACAAATTGGATGGCTAATTCCTGCGCAACCTAATGTTCATTCCCTTTACAAAAGTGAGCAGTGCTCACCCAAACCTGAATTATTTTCGAACTTTTTGGTGTCATACAAAATATAATAGTTGAGTTTATGAGCTTTCCATACATATAAAACTTTCCCCCCAACATCAAATATTTTTTTTATTCGGCAGCCATTTCAAAAGTGAATAGTTTTTTCGGGGACGCACGGTATCGGTTAGGGTTCCTTCTCTAAAATTCCACCTCTCACTCTCTTTCTTTTCTCTCTGTTTCTCTCTCTCTCTCTCTGTATTTATCTTTATATATCTTCATCTCCCTCTCTCTTTATCTTTGTGTCTCATTATTTCTCACTGTCTCTGTTTCTCTCTATGTCTCTCCGCTCGTGCATTGGCTTCGGATGAGTTTCTGGGGGGGGGGGGGGGTGCAGGGATAGGGGTACTGTGTACTACGTTATGTTGAAAAATATTGAGGCACAAACCATGGACTTACTAGACACGCACAACAATCAGCCATACACACACACATATCACCCACCCACCCATATACACGCACGGAACCCTCCCACAAACACCTACAGCATTCACCCACAAACACGCACATCAACCACCAACAGACAGCAGTCACCCACCTATGCAGGCGCGGCACCCGGCCACCCAGAAATATGCACAGAACTCACCCACAGACACTAACAACACCCACCCATCCATCCACACGAACAACACTCACCCACAAACACTCACAACACCCACTCAAACACACGCACAACACCCACCAATACACGCGCACGGCACCTAGCTCCCACAAACACGCACAGCACCCACCCACAAACACGTACATCACTCACCCACAAACACGTAGAGCAGTCACCCACAAACATGCACAATTAACACCCATCCAAACACACGCGCGGCACCCACCCACAAACATGCACGGCACTCACAACACCCACCCATACACACACAGCACTCATCCACCCCAAACAACGCACATCATCCTCCCATACACACGCACAGCACAACACCCACCCATACAACGCACAACCATGGACTATAGTTGAACAGAGGACGTCCTTGTTTTGCGAGTACCCACCCATCCACCCTAACACACACTCCATACGCACAGAATCCACCGACAAACACGCAAAGAACCCACTCATACAAATGCACCACAAAGACGCACATCATTCGATCACCCACAAACATGCACAACACCCATCCATAGACAAGCACAGCACTCACCCACTAATATGCACATCACCCATCCACCCATACACACGAACAGCACTCACCCACAAACACTCAAAACACCCATCCATAGACACACACAGCACTCACCCACTAATATGCACATCACCCACCCATACACACGAACAACACTCACCCATACACACGCACAGCACTCACCCACCCATACACACGAGCAGCACTCACCCACACCACCCACCCATACACACGCACAGCACACACCCACAAACACTCACAACACCCACCCATACACACGAGCAGCACTCATCCAAATACAATGTAAGGTCACTCAATATTCTGGAATCTGCCTTGCATCAACTGCATTTATTGTTGTTACTTTTGTTTATATTTGGTTAGGGGGCTTCCTACCCGGCCCCCCCCCCCCACTCAGTGTTATTTAGGGTACACATATGCTCGTTCCCTCTTTTTGAAAGCACCCCCTATCTGAGGACTGCCAACATTTCCGTACCCCCCTTCCGCTGGCTTTTTGCGGGCTTTTCCTGCCTTGGAGACCCCCCTAAATCAGGAAATATGCTCAATGTACCCCCCTAAATTCGGAATAACTCCTCAGAAGTCCAAAGAGATGAGAGAAAAAAAAGGAAAAACACCCCCTCTTTAAAGAAATATCCGGGTGAAAAGTCAAATACACCCCTTTTTTTACAATTCTCGGGCCGGACTTTGTCGCACGAAAAGTACCCCTTTACCGGGCTTTCTATTAAGTTGTATGAATGTACAAAATCATTTCGGTTAGGAATTCTCATTGCTCATTGTATAGATCACAATAAAAGGGGGGAAAGGGCTTTTCGGTTGGCATAAATTAGATAATAGAGCACCCAATTTTCAGTCTTGTGGGTTATATTACAGATAATAAAAGATACACTCGACAAGCCATATTATACAAAGTTCTCTTTGTAGTTTTATTTTCAAATATTTAAATACACATCGTTTATGTGGAATGATTGCAATGTTATCTTTAATACCTACAATAAAATAGAAAATCATCTGCTACAAAGATGGACTATGTATACCTTGCATAAAGGAAGAAGAACGCAAAATCTTTACAGAGAAATGTGCATAACTATATAAGCTTGATATGTGCCGCATGTGCAAACATTTCAGAGTACAAAGACAATTTTAACAGACGATAATCCTCTCCTTCTCTCATTGTATTCAGACAGGAAATACCCATTATAATGTAGGCATGAGTTATTTAGTCGAGTTGGAAACATTTAAATAATGCCATTTGCTTTCTTTTTTTTTCAAACCTTAATTTCCATAACCTTAAATAAAAACATATGCACAAGTCAACCGCATACATGCCAATTATCTCGGATCAAATAGTTCCTTCAATCATTTGGAATGTCAGTTTTGAAACAAATGAATGCATACAAGTATTTGGTCTCTCTTTTCAAAATGCTGAGAATGTTCAGAAGCACAAGGTTGTTGGTCTTACATTTGATGTGACCCCATCATGCCCTTCTGCATGTGTAAATGCTATACTGGTGTGAATTTTCTATTTCCTACAGGCAGTAACTTGTGTCCTTTTGCCAGCAAAAAGAATTCATTGGAACGCTCAAACTCAGGTCCTAGCACATAGATCTCGAAAAACATTATGCTTCAAAGTACATGTAGCTCTCATAAGACGAATTGGATTCATTTCATGATTAACACATACGATTACCTATCAATGGTCTAATAAGAACCTTTGATATCCAGTGCATACATACTTTAATACCCACATCTAGATCACAATATATTACATTTTTAGGCATAAACCATATACATGTAGGCGTTGTATACATGCTTAAAAGTATTGTGTTCCAAGAAAATGACACCGGAAACATTTTTTTCTACTTCTTTTTTCAATTATATAGCATTGACATTATTGTATGCCACAAAGCATGATTCAAATACCATCAATTACTTCAAAAAAGGTGTAAATAAACTACATGTACATTATGAACCTGTATGGCCAGGTTCAGACAGGTTCCGTATGATGAATGCCTCAAACACAGACGCAGCACATTTTAACGTGTGTATATATGAATGGCAAGAGGTACTGTTGTAGGGTCAACAGGTCAGAAATGCCTGGCTGGAATGCTCCCCAGGGAATGGAGAATGTGCATAGTAAATTGTGTGTGTGCAAGCCTGAATCCCATAATGGGGGTTAGTAATACATCTATATCTGTCAAGCGCCCACAGACATTGTCATTGTATCGAACGCTATAGAACCCCAGCATATTATTATCACTATCATTGGTATTTTCATTTGCAAAGGTTTGAACAAGAACACATTCTACATGGTTGTGATACTACCATATGTATTGTAATGGAATAGAGTTATGTTCACAATATTGTCAAAAATGGTATAAATAAATATCTGACTTTATTCTAAGCCCACTTCACGACATGCTGTTATTTGGCAAGAATGTTTAGAATGATAATTGTACTACGAAAAATTGTGCACACATATGTATTTAATGTACAAAAAGACACATTTGTGTAATTTCACAATTTTGACCTCTTTGGTTTATAAAAGGGGCTTGGGGTAAAACTACACCTATATACAATAATGCACTGGGTTCATTCTTAGCCTCTCACTGAAAAAAAAAATTATTGTGTTGCTAAAAATAAATGATGCATTTTTCAGCATGTGAGTTGTGCATATAGCAGTCGTTATTCAATTAGTTCATCTCAAATTTCAGACAAAGATTTCCATATCTAACCTCTGCCTGAAAATAACAACATTCATTTTCACTGTGCTTTTCAAAAAAAAAATATGCGTTTTTTAGCATGTTGAGTTGTGAATAGAGCAGATGTTAATTGAGTTCATCTAAAGCTTCAAACAATACTTCAGACAATAATTTCCACATTCTTCTTCCAAAAGACAACCCTACAAAGCATTTAGTGTTTCAGCATACTGATATTTTCTGCTGGGAGCCAGAAGGGCTTAACATATAGTAGTAGGTGTCTATGTGTATTGCATCATAATTCGCTGACATCAGATTTGGTTGAATTATTGATTAATGTGTGTGTGGGCAAATGAAGCAGCGAACCCGTGGTCCCACCAGAAAATTCATCAACTCGCCTTCAGATCTGGAGGGTGAGGGAAATATGATGTCATGATGGGAATTTCATCCAGCGGTAGACTAGGGCACAAAGCATTACATTAGACTCGTCGGTTGTAAAGTCCACTCTCGATGATTGACGAAGCCCATTGTTGAGTAAACACCCAAGTGGTGTCAAATTTCCCATAAAAACCCACTACTATCAGCCTTTAACACAAAAGCAACACCCTCCTGGCTCTCAACTGATGATCTTCATATACATCTACATTTACGAGTGACATATCAAAACCTATGCAAATATATTTCATAGTCCAAAAAGGACCAACCATTTTGGCAAATTTAGTTTTTCAGCACATACACGGTAGGTATTTCAAACATCCAGTTTTGTTAAGGTTTTAATCAGCATATTTCACATCATCTACAGGAAAACAGACTGTATGAAATAATTCCCCACATCTACAGACAATACTTCTTTGGAGGTTTTTAACCCAAACCATTAATTGTTTACACTACAATAGCAACAAGAACCTTTTTTTTTAGGTCTGAACAATTTTCACACCATTACTGTTGACTGTAAGCTACTCTTTAATGTAAGTACATTGACATAATTTTTGTTTACAAAAGGCAAGTTATGGCAACAATGAGATTACTCTAGAAGCCAGCTAATATAAAGATTTGGGGGACCTATTAATTACCACTTTAACTTAATGGTTACAAGTCTATGTGAAAGAGTTTTTTGTGAAGCAGGAATCCCTAATAGTTACATTTTCACAAAATCCCAATCTTCAAGGTCGTACTTTTTTTTTTTTAAAGCAAGGCAATGAACAATTTGATCACAAATTGGAAGACAAATTTGTTAAGCAAGCAGCAAATCTTCGAGCTACAAAAATATAAAAATTATCAGAATAATCTGCTTACGAAAAATCAATACATTTTTGGTAGATCCTACTTGAACTGCGAAATAGCTTCTACACAAACTACAAACTTGCAAACTACGATAACTGACACTACAGTTTCCAAGATAACATCAGGGAATTGACATCATCTCCCTGATAACATGTATGCATATTGGAAATCATCTAAAACGGACTCTATCTTTGCTTATATTTTAATGTCGTTTGCACTATGGCATAAATACACTGGCTTGTTATAAAATATATTCTATCCTACACTTTAATTTGGAAATAATGAGGAAATCATTGACTTTTCAATAACAATGGCATTGTAAATAAGAAACACAGTCTGCACGTTTCATTTTTAAAAAAAGGACAAAAGAAAAGGAAATTGCGTAATGCTGTCATAATATATTAGCTATTTATAACTATGCATATAATCTTGTTAGCTCATATTCGACCATCTTTTTTTCCGCCTACGATCTTCCATCTCTCTCACACACATCCAATCTTGACTCCTTCTAGTTTCCACAATACAAGGCAAATATACAACCATAACAAACATAGTTACTTACATACAAACATTAACAGATACAAACATAAAACTTCATGGCTTTGTAATACCCGAACATATTTTCCTCACCAGATTAAACTCATTTCATGGTCACCTGAGGGCCCTGTTTCACAAAAATTGTTATTAAACAAATTGCAATAAGTGCTGTCAGCTGATGTGATTGTTTCATTTTGATTGGTTGAGAGCAAGTTGTCATAGAATTCCAGTATTAGTTATTCATGACAAGTTTGTGAAACAGGGCCCTGCTCCCACAGGCATATTCCATTGATATCTTTGTCTATATCATCCATATTTATCACTGTCTTGCCCTTAAAGCCCTATTGTCCTAGAAGCACTACCACAAAATCCCCTCTAAGGCCATCTCAGGTCAGCTGTAGCAGTATGGTCTCGTAACTTACTGCTTCCGTAGCTTCTCTGAAGTGCAAATTAGGTATTGGGTTACGCACTGTTGGCAAGTTGATCATGTGACGGCGCTGTGAAATACACAGTACGCTAGGGCAGAAAGTTCATCAGTTCAGTATCGTTTTAACTACGCATGGAAGAATAAATGTTTTTGCAGGGAAGAAGCTTATCGACATCAATGAACATTTTGATGGTAAATATTATGTTTTGTTGTCTCTTTTGCATAAGTCATGGCGATAACAACAAATAGATCTCCATACTGAAGCTATCACCAGATAGCGTGGATGGTGATCGTCATCTGTTTTGTAAACGTCAAGATGGAATGAACAACGATATCTAAAAGGAAGCATTCTCTTTCGTATCATAGAAAAGTTTGATGGTGACATCATCTGCTTTGCCAGAGCCACAGTGAGACTATCAAAGACACATGTAGCAATCTTGTTAGTATCACATACTAGTTTAAATAGTTGCCATCTCTAGTTACTTGAAGCACGACAGGGAACCTTGCACCCTTTATCTTTATAAGCTATCCAGAAGTCGTCTAATCCGTTCCTGTAGCCAATAGATTTATACAATGGACATTGTCATTCCGCAAACGTCCATTCCTTGTGGTGTGACGTTCTCGTAAATGAGCGTTTCTTTGTCCAGGCAGGCCTCGGCTGTCCCGATAGAGTCAGCAATTTTGTTATTGTTCTGCTTGACATGGTGATTATCTGTTCCCTGTAGCCAATAGATTAATTCAATGGTCATTGTCATTCCGCAAACGTCACTGTGAAACTGGCATTCCTTGTGGTGTGACGTTCTCGTAAATGAGCGCTTCTTTCTCCGGGCACTCCTCCGCTGTCCTGTTTGAGTCAACAATGGCCTGCTTATCGATTTGGATCTTGTTATCGTTCATCCTGTCAAAGTCGAGGGATGCGTATATGGTGGGTTCCTCCGTTCTGATTGGTGGTTGGCCTTCGGGATGCCTGTTGACGTGTGCAACCTCAGCGTAGATTAAACCATCATCGTTTACCTATACAGACAGAAATATGACACCCGCAACAACAGTGACAATAGATTTATAAGTATTACCTGTGAAAAGAGCACGGGATCTGGAAGTGGATGGCATAAGAGGGAAAGGAAGACTGAAGATTTCATGGAAAGATATGTTGAAGAAAGCAGTAAGGTTGGTCTAAATGAAGAGGATGCTTGGGACAAGAAGAAATGGAGGGAGAGAGTGCCATCATAGCACAAAAGTCAGTAACCCCTCGTAAGAGAGAAAATGTTGACTTCAAGTTATGATGATGATGATAATGATACATGATAGGCAAGTCCATGGTACGAGACCAACGTCACTATGATTTACAATAGACCCACTGATTTTATCAAGTTGACATCACTACTTGAATCTCACCAAATAGCTAGGACATTGGTGCTTGATGTTACTGTTTGTTCATTGTTTTTAGTCTTGGTAGCATGTATACTGCACAGCAAATGACCAAATACATGTGCCTTGGACTTTCCAAGTATGAAAAAGGCATCAACTGCTTTGCCATTGATCTGGATTGATAGAAAGTCTTCCAATCAAACGCAAACTTAGAAACTCCTATCTCTTCAGTACAGAGTCGGTACTGAAACCTACATGTACATTTGGTTGCGATCACTTTGAATTCATTGCAACTGTTTACAAGATAGGACCCTGCAATTTTTTAGCTACTTACCATTCTTCCTTCATGTTGTGATTTTCTAAAGTCCTCCTTCGCTACATCATCATATACTGGATTATCTGTCACGCAAAGGATTAAAACAAAGCTAAAACATTAACATACAAGTTATAGAATACCATAGTACCACTTGCAGAATCTTGGCAAGATAACTACATTGGCAGTGTAAGGGATAATTATTTGGCCCCTTTTACCAACCAATAGTACTCTTCTAGAATATGTAAATTTTGTTGTATGAAATGTATTGTTGTATTGCTGTTGGTAAATAAATCAAATCAAATCAAATCAAATATGGCTGTGCTGGGACTGGGGGATGCCAACTGAAAATAAGTCAGTGCACATAGATTGGATGCAAAGCCACACATGTAGGTCTATTGTTTAGAAGTCAACAAACTTGCTATTCCACAAGCAACAGTGACCACACCCAATTAAATGGGGTTTTTGCGATGTGATAGCACTGGAAGGAAATAAATAATGCAGCCTTTCAAACTCCTTCCCATACCCTTACATTCGTGGGTATGGAGAGGCAAATACAGGCACAGGTCATGCTTCTCCATGAGACAATGTGCTATGGCTGAGATTAGACCCTCAAGCACTTGATCTAGAATCCCGGACAAATCCAATGGACCACAACCCTTTGCCAATCCTATGGCGCAAGTACATGCTTATTACTAATCTATTGATGTACAGTGTGTCCCGAAAAAAACTATACACTTTTGAAATGGCTGCCGAATAACAAATATATGATTCTAGGGAAAAAGTTATATATGTATGGAAAGCTCATATACTCAACTTTCATATGACACCAAAAGTTGCGAAAATAATTCATGCTCGGGTGAGCACTGCTCACTTTTGTAAAGGGTATAAAAATTAGGTTGCGCAGGAATTAGCCTTCCAATTTGTGAGAGGTAAATCCTTTGGAGCTTACGGAATTGAGGATGATATGACCAATTTATGATCAATTGTGATGAGTTTGGAGTTGCTGAGTGAAATGTTTGGTTTATGGGATTAACATTTTATGCATGAGTGAACAGGAATTGCATTTTTTTTATTGTAGCACTGTAACTTCCCTGTTAGACTCAGTGGTGTGTTCATGGGAGTCAGGATGGGGTGATGGTACATGTTGTAATTTCCATGTTACAAACTGTTATTCTCTTACATCTGTGACTTTGAATAAAAACCTGCACCCTACATTTCAATTATTGTAAGATTAGTTGAACATCTCATTGATGTATTCAATACCCAGGTAGGGATAATGTAAATCGAATATTCAAATATGGTTTGTTGAAAAAAGGAATGTCCAAGATGTCGGCTACTTATTCTTCAGGTAAATGGTAACTGAAATGTGGGGTGAAGGTTTTTATTCAAAGTCACAAATGTAAAAAAAAAAACAGTTTGTAACATGGAAATTACAACATGTACCATCACCCCATCCTGACTCTCATGAACACACCACTGAGTCTACCAGGGAAAGTTACAATGCTACAATAGAAAAATGAAATTCCTGTTCCGTGCATAAAAGTTTGGTTTAATAAACCATGGAATTCACTCAGTAAATCATGAATTTATCATATCACCCTCAATGCTGTAAGCTCCAAAGGATTTACCTCTCACACATCGGAAGGCTAATTCCTGCGCAACCTAATTTTCATACCCTTTACAAAAGTGAGCAGTGCTCAATCAAGCATGAATTATTTTCAAACTTGTTGGTGCCATATGAAAGTTGAGTTTATGGGCTTTCCATACATATACAACTTTTCCCCCTAGAATCATATATTTTTATTCGGCAGCCATTTCAAAAGTGTATAGTTTTTTTCGGGACACACTGTATATGTATATCTTCAGTGTCCATCTTAGTCTTTTCTTCATCTTATCTCACTTTTCCCAGTCGTTTGAAAAGAAAATTCTTCAGTACCAATACCTAAATTTTGTGATGTTTTCTAACCATTTTGCTTTACTCTGTTATTTGTGAAAGTGGGTGTTTATCCATTCATTATAATGATAATAATAATAATAAATTATATTTCTGAAGCGCATTAATATGTCTCTTTGCGCTTTACATTGTATTGTGTAAAAGATTGATTAATTATATCAAGGTACTTCAACATGCTGCTGTAATACTAACATGTATAACTCCAACAATGCAGTAATACATTTACAAATGACAAAACTATTCATGTGTGCATACATATTACATGTCCATGCAAAGGCATGTATTAATCTATTCATGCTATGCATATCTAGAAATTAGGTCATAAAACTGTGTATTTGATCACATTTTGAATGAATTGACATAACTCAGCATATCCCTACTGGTTATAACATAAAGCAACAAGAAGCAACTATTGTTCTTATGTGGGCTCTTGAGTTAATAAGTATGCTAAAAACATTATATACATGTACACAATGAGCACAATAACAAAAAACAAAGCATTAGAAATATTTTTGACTAGTAGCCTACTACAAAAAAAATGCATTTCTTGAAAACAGCCCCAAAATTACAGGATAAACCCTTATTCTGGCATCATTTTTTGTCTCACTTGTATTTAAAAAAATTATATTTTTGTACTGAAAACATTAATTAGTATTTTAGGAATACATTCTGTACATTCAAACTATTTTTGCGTTACACAGATATACACTGTACATATACGTTGTGAGCAAACAATTTCACAAACAATACAAATAATCACAGGCAGTGCTAATTTCTTAAAGACCCTATCCTATGAAAATAATAGCGCTTTATATCAATGGAAAGCTGAATGAACATAGAATACAAATATAAAGGAATAGCAAATATTTTCTCTTTCATTATAAGACCATATTGACATAACATGTGGACCGAATAGGCTCGCCTATATAGCTGAGGCGATTAGCCGTGCTTAAATAATGCAAAGTCATCGTGAATATGCGTTAGGTCGACAACTTCTTATTTGCAAATGTTTAGATTTCAAGTTTTCAGAGAGCTGTTACTCCTCTCACAGACACTAAAATAGCATATAATTAATATCATTGTAATCTATGGCTCATAAGCTTTCCGTTGATATATAATCTATTCTATTTTTCACTTACGACAGGGTCTTTAACCAATACATTACATAATAATACAATCGGCCTGCAAAGGCAAAGCAAAACAAGATCACAGGGTGGGGGTGGGGGGTGGGGGTGCAAGAGAGTTTAGGTGAGAGGTAGGGTGCATTTACAGAAGGAATGTTAGGTGTATGTACTTTATTAAATAGCATCTGCACTATTGTATGGTGTGGTGCACTTGTGCAACAGGAAAAATTAAAATATTCATGCCATTAATTTTTTGTTTTATGTGTGTGTTTTGTATTGTTTTTGCTTCTATTTTACAAAGTGGCCTTTTTGTCCATACGTACCATAGCTTATACCTCGGCGTAGGTTTGATAAACAACATATTTTCTATTCAATCATTTGGTGTAACTTCTTTGACAGTTTCTCTCACAATTAATTTATCAATACTCAACTTCTGTTTTTAATACAGGCACCATCATTCTGGAAAATCCTGAAAATTATGTTCTCTTTCATATTAGAAAACAATATTGATTGTCATAACAAATGGTTTAAGCAAAAGACATTGGTATATGTCGGTGTAAAGCCGGCAGAGAATGCATACATTTATCAAAAGGTACATCTGCATGAGCAGCAGAAAAAAAAGTGCTTGTTACACGCAATATTTGTTTTGTTATGACGATCAACATAACTTTACCCTATAACAAAAACATATATTTCAAAATGCTGCAAAACCAGAAACTTTCATCCTCATGAAACGGTTGCAAATTTGATGAGTGGTCTCAATTAATAACTTGCGCACATATCCATCCATTGGGATGCTCAAGGCACCTACAATGTGGTATCATTACCCTGGTTTCAGCCCACCTGTCTAAAACGCACTAAAGCATTACAAATTCCTACCAGGTATACATTAACTACACCTGGGGTGAGAGTGGCAAATGAAGATTAATGTCTTGCCAATGGACATTAGTGCCGCGGCAGGACTTGAACCGTGAACCATGTGATCTACCGTCCAGTGACGTATCCACTAGACCATGGCACCTCTGCCACAAATAAAGGAATAACAATCGACACAAAACTGTATTTTTTCAATTCACACAAGTGTGAGACAAGAAGTGTCGTGGTCGAGTGGATACATCACCGGACTGTGGATCACAAGGTCCACAGTTCGGGTCCCACCGCGGCACTAATGTCCATTGCCAAGACATTAATCTACATTTGCCACACTTAACCCTGGTGAGGTAAATGGGTTACCTGGTAGGATTATTTCTTGAAATGCGCTGTGCGCTGATAACGTCTGCCGGATCTAAAGCTAGGGTAATAATTTCCAAAGCTCTTTCGAAGCGCAAAGAGATGTTATTGTTTACAAATCTCTAAAAATCTTGGGCGCGACAGTTTCTGGTTTTACAGCATGCCCCAGTTGACAAAGCAATGGGTTAAGAATTAGATTAGTTTGTTACCATACAGGAGACTAATGAAAGTGCTGAGGAAGAGCTGGTGACACGTACATGCATAATACCCACCACTAAGGAACGACCTAGCCTGGCCGTTTGTAGGCTGACCCTCAGGCCCCGATCTAATAGGACGAGAAATTGATTCTGGTTATTCATTATACAGTAATAGGTGATTCCCTGCAATGTGTCTTATACAACATATGGTAGTATAGAGCAATTTCATGTTATGTGTCCTATACAACATGTGGTAGTATAGAGCGATTCCAAGCAGTGTGTCCTATACAACATATTATTGTAGTATACAGCGATTCCAAGCAGTGTGTCCTATACCACATGTGGTAGTTTAGACCATTTCAAAGCAGTGTGTCCTGTACCACATGAGGTAGTATAGAGCGATTCCAAGCAGTGTGTCCTATACCACATGTGGTAGTATAGAGCGATTCCAAGCAGTATGTCCTATACCACATATCATAGTATAAGGCAATTCCAAGCAGTTTGTCCGATACCACATATCGTAATATAAGGCAATCCCAAGCAGTGTGTCCTATACCACATATCGTAATATAAGGCAATCCCAAGCAGTGTGTTCTATACCACATATGTCCTATTTCTACATAGTCATATCAAGAGATTTTTCATTATGGATGAAATGCATTGGATAGATGCCATATGTCATATGGGGCATATTACAAGAAATAATCTTACAGCAGAAACTTGTTATATGGCAAGTCCAAGCAACTTTGTCCTATACCTTTAACTGACCTTATATAAGATTTCACTGTGTATCTGATGACTTTATCAAGCTGATAGCCCTAACACAGCTTCAATTCAATGGTATTACTAGGTAACCTATGGGAAATAACTTTAACAAATATAAGTATCCTTGTTGTAATGAAACGTTGTTATATCAGGGCTAAACAAAAATTAAATACAGAGATAGGGGCCAGCAAAATGAACTTGATATAATGAGATTTTGTCATACCAGAGCTTTTTTAGGGCAAGTCAACAATGTATTCGTTTAAAATTCATTATACATGTCATCCTTCATCTAACAGTCCTATTTCACCTATAATAATGGGTATATCTTGATTTCATTTGGTATCACTTTACCACTCATTTTGGAAACAAAGAAAAGCCTAGGGTGATTCTATCTTACCTTACTGATGATTGTTGAAGCTTTGTTGCTGTGGTATAGAAACAAACATTGGAAGAAATTCAAATGAAGGGTGTGGAACTTGGTGTTTTAAAGGCACCAAAAACATGATATAAAAACTGAATAGATTGCCCTGAAATGTGAAGCTACAAGCAACAAATTAACCCAAATAATATATATCTGTAAAGGCCATTGAGAGGGCCTGCGGTCCTGAAATGCGCTATATAAGGACAAACTATTATTATTATTAGATGTGATACAGTGGAATTTTTTAAAACTGAAACCTGCAAATAAAGACTACTCAAGTGGGACATGAAAATTCAGGGAGTACTAGTTTTATGTATAAGTTCTATCAGTACAGGTTTTAATGTTTTAATGAGAAACAATGTTCCAGGGGGAAAATGTGTGGTCTTTATATACAGGTGGTATTTCGATACAGAAGGTTAATAAAGCAGGCTTGAATGTATGCATCTTTAGACAATGAACTTAAAAGCAAAATCGGAATACAAGCACTCACATTTATTTTTTCTGTCATGATTTCTCCTAACAAATACAATGACGACTAGTAGTAAGGCTATAAATACAATCGCTCCAATGATTGCAAATGTTACAGTCGATGGTGCTCCTCTGCCACCCTGATTTAAACTTGCCACTGATAAAGAAAAAAAGAAATTTGTTATTATATTAAAGCAAAAGTAGCATTCAAACTTTCATTTATGCTCAATTATGTTCACTGCACTGAAGAATGAGCCATTCAAAGTTGATTGCATGAAAATGTTGTTGTTTTTTAATTTGATTGCATTTAAAAGAGGTTAAATTGAAATGCATACCACAGGATCGTGTTCAGGGTTGCTGTATTAAATTTTGAATAATCCGAAGTTGTGATCATGGTTATTTATTGTGCATTCATCTTGATTGCATTCCATACTTTATAGCATTCAATTATATTTCAGTGACATATACCTGCCATCACCTCTTACAAAAATTCTAAGTTGGTTTGATTGCTATTATAAATGCATTCATGAATTCATTCACAAGTTCTCATATTTACTATAAACTGTTTCCCGCATGCTGCACATTCCTCTTCCAAAGCTCAACACTGTATACCTGCCTTCACCCACCTCCAACAAAGTTGGATCCTGATTGGCTAATTCATGGATTCATTTACAAGTTCTCATACTTACTATCAACTGTCTCCCGCACGCTGCACATTCCTCTTCCAAAGCTCGACACCATGACAGTCTGATCACTAGGCTTTTGTACGGGGGCTCCATCGGCAGGGTAGGCACTACTCCGTGGATTGCAGTACCCCTCTGCCTCGGTCTCGATCTTGAAGCGGATTTCGCCAGGGAAGTCGGTCGCAGGGTTGGAGATCAAAGTGATGAGTCCATTTTCGTTGGTCACAATGATACCTACGAGAAACAGGATTTTGAAGAAATGTACATTAATTGTGAGTGTATTGAAAGCATGTGATGTATCCTGTTACCAAAAAGAAATCTTTAAAAATACAAGCACAAGAGAAAAAATATTGCCAGTTCATTCCCATAAAAACATTAAAACGGTAAACAAATTGTGATATATTTACATTTCTCAACATCGGCATACATGCTGTTGTCATCATCCTTATCATTATAGTCACTATCACTACTAATATTATAACAATTTAATCATTATTATATTCCACATACTAAGAATCTTGCTCTACGATTGGTCAAAAGTAAATCACGTGATGAAAGATAGTTAGCCCAATATTGATAGGAGGAGCAAAAAGTTCGTTACACTGTGTAGATAGTACTACTATCTACACAGGGCAACGCACTTTAATTGTATACGCTGCGTATTGCTCTCCTCTTTACGCGCTTGTAGTGTTAGTACGCGAACTTTGGTCACGCGCGAACTATTTGGTCACGCTCGAACTATTTGGTCACACCACCAGATACTGCATGCACTGTACGTAATCGTAAACCGTTTGCTAGCTGTTAATTGTTGTTGCTCTAAAATGACGTAAGAAGTGAAACGTTTCCGATGTGGAATATAAAGCAAATAATCACCTTTTGGTTTCAGGCGATGGCAAACTATCACTTCCTCGGCGATCTGAATGTATACGCTATCTTTCCTCAGCTTCGCTTCGCTACGTCCAGATTGCCTCGGAAGTGATAGTTTGTCCCATCACCTTTACCAACGGTAGTTATTTGCTTACTATCATTAATATTATCATATCACTAATAAGGATAAATCAAAACAGTCACAGCTACAGTCCATGTAAATCAATGAAAAGATAAGCAATTACTCTGAAAATGTCAGTGATTTTTTTTTTCTACTCACCATAGTCACTAGGAGGTAAAGCTACAAAGAAAGAAGAAAAAATATCAAAGAATCAATTTGGAATTATCAATTTAAACTTGTCATGCACAAAACTTTTTTTGTAATTTTTTAAATACATATATATATTTTGTTTGGTGGGTCGGATGAGATACCCAGGGTGAATCAAATAAATGAGTCAACAATACTTTTAAAAAATCATAAAAATTGGGTTCACATTTATGGAAATCATTGTATAAATATTAGAATAAAATTGCAAGAATGCTGGAAAGAACGTGTGAATTCAATCATCACAGATCCAAGAAAATATGCAATTGACAAACAGGCAAACTTGTCAATAAATTAATACACATGCAAGTGAAATTGATCTTACAATTTCTGTAACACCCTGTATAACACGCCTAATAAAATCAGTTTGGCTAAAATCAATTTTGCCTTCAATGATTAAAAATTACAATTTTCTTCAAATTTCAAAAATAAAAAAATGTGAATTACAAAAGAAATTGAGACAGAGTTCTATAAACATCAATTGGACTTTTACAAAAACAATGCCATACAGGGTTAAAAGAGAAACAAACATATTCTATCACTCCAATACTCACGCGAAGTAGATACAAGGATTTCGCTGGTCTCGGAGCTTCTACCGTTACTGTTCTCTGCATAGACTGAGATAGAGTACCAGCCAAAAGCCTCAAGGTCTTCTAATAAATATTCAGGCTCCTTGATACCTAAAGGTTAGAAAAATTGAAATTTCATATTTATTGAAAAAGTCACAATTTCAACACATTTAATTTGTGCAACAGAGAACATACCTGCCGACCTTTCACAGCAAAAATTAGGAATCTCTCAAGGAAAAATTCTGGTCTATTTTGTTCAGAAAAAGAGAGAAATCTAGGGCTCAAAACAATAGCTCGAAGGTAAAAACAAATATGAATCATTCTTATTCCCCCAAAATAGGAATGGTTTGCAGCCATGGAGAAGGTTTTTTTGGCAAAATTGGAACTGAAAAAGATATTTTTTAAAGTGATCACATTCTTTGACACATGGCTCCTATGAAAAAGATTGAAATGAATAGCTAAAATAACTTTTTCTGACCAAGATCAGTCAATATTTAATAACATTCATCATATGGGAATACACTGAAAATCATCTACCGGTAATACATGCGCATGTATCCGTATCAATAATGTAGTAGATTCAATACAAAAAAACTGTGACAACTAAGATTGCAAATTATGGTCAAGAAATTAATAAAACAAGACTAAACCCCAACTTGGAAAATGTTGTCTGTGAACAGCCCAATTTTATTGTTTTTAAACTTTGCATGAAAATGACTGGCAAAGGGTAATTTGAATAGCTACCCACAACAATATCCCCTATGTGTACTTAAAGATGAAGTTGAGTTCTGGTCATGCAATTGCATTATGAAAGAAACGGTGTGGAATCAACCAGAAAAGGTTGATCATGTAGCATATAAGAATTTGTGTGTATTGCAAGGTTCTGGAATCATCAAAATGATAAGAAATTTGGCCAAGTCTTGGTAAAGTTACAAACACTGTACACAGAAAGATGTATATGGGACTACATGAACACGTGGCGTAAAAATCCTACCCCCGAGTTTTACGATGTTACATGACATATTTAGAATATAAAGGCATTTGAAGAGCCATGCTTTTCAGGGAACATGTCTTATTTGATGTTCTTCCACACTTGCATGATAAGAATGATAACGCTCACAAATTGTTTTTCACCTCTTCCCAGAACTCAACCTTCTCTTTAATAATCTGTATGTTACTAGATACAAAAATGTGACGCGTAATAACATTATCTAATCTAACTTTGCATGTCTTTCTTTTCTTCATTCAATTTAATTTCTCATGTCTGGATGTGGCAAAAACTCACCAAATATTTTCTTGCAGTCCAGTTGGGTGTCATTCAGACAGTAGGTTATGACGTATGATTGTTCCACTCCACCATTATAGCCAAATTGCCAATAAATCATGAATGAATGGGCTTTGATCTGGCTCGCATCAATCCGTAATGATGTAGGAGGCTCTGGTTTTGCTGTTTAAACGAAGAAGAATCATTAAACACATCTGTTTGTGTTTCCAGTTTCTTACAAGAAGATACAGTCACAGTGATATAAATTTCCCACAGTTGTTTCAATGTGATTGCAAACTTGATGAAAATATGCTAGCAAACCTTCCCATGAATTTTTCCACTGAATGAGAAAAAAATTGATTTCCATAGCATTTTGCCAGTGTAACAACACTTTGGGAAATTCATCAGGTGACTGGAACAACTTCTACTGATAGAAAATAATTAAGGCGGCATATCAGTATCAGCAGTTCATATTGATTTCTGAGCAAATGCAGAAAAGATGACATATTCCTAGGGAAATAATTTCAAAACACTTCACAAGCACATACATGTTAGAGTCTTGCATCAAAATGTGGCATGTACTATAAAAAAACAAAATTGGATTATTAATGGTATCATTATTTCCATTGTTGCAAGCTACATATGTATGTAAACATACTCTAGACTCTACGGGAAGTTGTTAGGAATCAAGTTTTTTGGACGTGCATTAGAAATTCTTAGATATAGATCCACAATTGCAGTACATTTCACTATGCAACCGATAGTGTCATCAAAGTGACCGATCAAACTTACATGTTCCGCTAAGGATAATGACAGCATCGTCTCTTCCTGCAGTGCTTATCGCCGTGCACTTGTAGTTCCCATGATCAATGTCCGGCTGTACGTTCAAGATGTTCAGCGTACTCGTCACCACGCTCTCATAATCACTGTTGACCTCTGTATTTACAATCACAGTCCTGTTCGAAAGCGAGTGGTTGCCGAGCCGTGTCCAGTTGACGTCTGGGCTGGGGTTGCCCTCAACGATGCAGGAGAGAGAGGCGTTCTTGCCCTCGTTGGCCGTCGTCCGGTTGTTGGCCTTATTTTGAATCGTAGGCGGAACTGAAAAGAAAGAGCACCAAGTGATTTTCCAGGGTAGAACTTCAACAACAAAAATTCTGTACGGGAACGTCAGGAATCATCATTTGCATTGATCAAACAGTCTCTGATGTCAGCACTCTATTTTTTTCTTTACTTTTTTACACCACCCTGGATAGTCCGTTTCTGTGAAAATTGTGAAATACTTTACAGTAACCAATAGCTGACTCCTAACCATTCACACTGCAATTTCATTGAAATTGTGAACGTAGTTTCAATGAAATTATGTTTACATTCTCATTTATTTTTAATCAGAGGCGAGTTCTAAATTAAAGCATGTTTCAAAACAAACACCAAATTTCCAATTTTTGAATTTGGGAATACACATCAATTTCTTGTGCGAAGATGGCCGTCATTAAATGCTGTGAGCGTCGAAATCGGCAGCCTAGCATAGCCGAGTAATGTTGGAGCGCCTTGAGGACCTTGCAAGGTCGATACGTGTGCTTTATAAGAATCCAATATTATTATTATTATTATTAACAATTCACTAAAGAGTAATGATAAAAAGGATCTGTTTTAAATGAAATGATCTAAAAAACCAAATGACAACTGGAGTGCCTTCTTGAGTTACGTGTCTGAAATGTTTTCATTAACGATGAGAAACTCTCTTCACTCACAATACACGATGAGTTGGTCATCTGTGCTGCTCCTTGGCGAAATGTTATTGTTAGCAATGCACTTGTATACCCCTCCATGATGCCTTCGGACCTCCCTAAATTGCAGCAGCTGGGAGCCATCCTCCTTGGTCAGCTGATCAAGCATTAACCCTTCGTTTTTGGCCTTCACCCAGGTCAGGGCGGGTCTGGGGTTGCCGTCAGCTCGGCAGGTGAATTCCAGGTCGACAGTGCCCTCTGTGACTTGGCGGCCGGGCATGTTCCTAGAGATGGTGGGCATTTCTGGTGCATCTGAGATGAATTACAGAATATATAGACTTAGAACCCATTTTGTTTAAAAAACAGAATAGGCCATTAAATTATATTTTATATTGAAGGATACCTGTCTGCCATACTTTATAGTTCACTTACATAAGGCCTAAAAAAAAGATGTTGTATTGCCCTTTAGGTGCCGAAACATGGGACGGATGGTCAGTCAAAAAGTTCTTTTTCTTTTTCTCCCTCTTTGGGCTGATATTTCTCAGTTTTGATACATATTTTTTTATTCATTAAACATTTTTTTTTTTTTACGTTTAAAAAAGAATTTTTTTTAAAAAGCCGACCATAGATTTCAAGATGGATGTTTATTCTAGCTTTCCTAGCATGTTATGGAGAGTATACTTGTATACATCTTTCGATCAAAATATACCTGTTCCTGAACAAAAATTGAGAAAAGAAGATATTGTGAGAATCTTTAAAACAACATCAAGTCCAAATTACTGAAATAGGAGGTTTCATGCATCATTTATGATTTAGTACGTAACAAACTCTATTGCCTACTGGAAATGATTGACTCCTGTATTAAAGCATATGGGAATGAAAGAATTCAATAGTATTATAATTGTTTTAGTTTGTAATGTCTTGTTTACATCTTGCATTTTGTTATTTTGTGAATTTTATTGTAATTTTTTTTCCACATTTGTCATTTATGTTATAGGTTCACCCACTTCCCTCAAGCCATCAGCTTTATTTGGTGCTAATGATCCAGTACACTCCTAAATGTATATTGTATGTGATTTAGTTTTAAATTAAATAATAAATTAAATTGAAATAAATAGTCAGGGGGTTAATTTTGTTATCTAATTCATCTCACACTATTACTAAAATATGTTATTAATTTTTGTTTTTATCTGCTACCTCCGAGGCCATGAGTTATTTCTATACTAACATTTGACATCTGGGACGCAAGGTTCAGAGCACACGGTAGAGTCACAGGATGGGCTGAGAGTAGTGCAGCATTTAAAGCTCTGTTTATAGTCTTCTTTGGTGAAGTTTCTCATGTAACTCAGCGTCGCCCGTCTTCCAAGGGGTTCGGTGCTCTCTTCGAAGTGAGTCTGTAAGGCATTTGGCTCCGTGACGCTAGTGACACCTAGACAGATATACAGAAATATACTCTTTAAATGCCACATAAATAATTTTCCTGTCATGTATCATGGGATAGGTATAACAAATGCTTCAAAATTATACACAATGTTTCCAGTGCAAGATTAATCTATATCAATGTTAAAGCCTGTCTGCACTAATTTGGCCAGGAGGGATTAGACCTCCCTGCTGGTCACTGGCAGGTGGTTATCTCATCAAATCAGCTCTCAATTAACATAAGAAAAAGTTGACCATAGGGGATCAACCATGGGGGATCAACAGTCACCACTTAGGCATTGTTGGCTATATAGAGGACGCAAGTAGCTACAAGTAGTGCAGACAGGCTTTAAGGTAAAAAGAGTTGTCATGGAGCTATTCAGGATCAGAAATGGATAATTTTGCAAAGCCATTGTGTTACACAAAACAATCTTTCCCTCAATTGGTGCCTGTTATTTTGTGCAAGATCACATGTGTGGCAAATGAGCAACTGTGCAGAGAGGCAAAGAAAGTAACCAAAGTGTAACCCTATATAGCCCGGGCTATTTTGAAACTGCATAGCCCGGGGAGGGGCTTCTAAGGCCCCCCCTATGATCTCGGCCCTGAAACGTTGAAAAATTATTGCGAAAAATGTTGAGGGGGGCGAGATAGGGTTAACCCTATCTAGCCTGGGAGGCTGGCTCCCCCCCCCCCCCCCCCCCCCCCCTATGATCTCGGCCGCCGAATGTCCGATGAACACGAAAATTTGCATATTTGTAGATATTTACGTAAGGAACAAGATGGTATCATTAGTTTTTTCCAAATATGCAAATTTTTGTCGTTATAGCCGAATTAATTATGCAAAATGCTAATTTTATGCATTTTACAGAAACCTCTACATATTTGTCCATAGACTTGTGAAGAATCTTGAAAATGTATTGGTTAATTTGCATAAATTATGAATACGCAAATTAGCATTCATGAATATCAAATCTGGAACTATATTTAGGGACTAGAATCATTACAAAAATTGTCAGACTCCACTTTTTGAATGTTGTAGCTCATTATTCATATGAAACATCTTTTTTAACACAAAATAGTTATTTGATGTAATTAATAATGATAATTTATGCCAATTTGATGCAATTTTCAACTATTTATTTTCTTAAGTATTATATTGTTTTTTATTTCTTATTATATCTATTGTTTTATTTCTAATGTATTCTTTTGTTCAGGAATACATCAAGTTTGATATCAATTCATATCTTCACATTTCTGCTTGTACATGAATATATGCAATTATAGCAATTTTTTTATGACATGCACATACTAATTGTTATGTAACACCTTACAGGTATATCTGATTTTGACGAAAATGGTATCAAAATGTGCGCAAGACTTGAGGGAAAAAAGTCATGAAACGACAATTCAAAATTCCAAGCCGTTGCGGCGCGATCTCCGAAAATGTCGAGGGGGGGGGGGCCTCCCAGGCCCCCCCACCCCCAGTAAAGTAAGGGTTAAAAAAGGGTTTCTCATTGAAACATGTACTAAAGGAACCTGTCTACACAGACCACCTGTTGTGTTTCCCTTGGGCGGTCGCTATAGACAGGTTTGACCAAACTACCTTATTCTGATCAAATTAGTGCGAAAAATGTTGAGGGGGGCTAGATAGGGTTAACCCTAACTAGCCTGGGAGGCTCCCCCCCCCCCCCTATGATCTCGGCCGTGGAATGTCCGATGAACACGAAAATTTGCATATTTGTAGATATTTACGTAAGGAACAAGATGGTATAATTAGTTTTTTCCTAGTATGCAAATTTTTGTCGTTATAGCCAAATTAATTATGCAAAATGCTAATTTTATGCATTTTACAGAAACCTCTACATACATTGTAGTTGTCCATAGACTTGTGAAGAATCTTGAAAATGTATTGGTTAATTTGCATAAATTATGAATACGCAAATTAGCATTCATGAATATCAAATCTGGAACTATATTTAGGGACTAGAATCATTACAAAAATTGTCAGACTCCACTTTTTGAATGTTGTAGCTCATTATTCATATGAAACTTCTTTTTTAACACAAAATAGTTATTTGATGTAATTAATAATGATAATTTATGCCAATTTGATGCAATTTTCAACTATTTATTTTCTTAAGTATTATATTGTTTTTTATTTCTTATTATATCTATTGTTTTATTTCTAATGTATTCTTTTGTTCAGGAATACATCAAGTTTGATATCAATTCATATCTTCACATTTCTGCTTGTACATGAATATATGCAATTATAGCAATTTTTTTATGACATGCACATACTAATTGTTATGTAACACCTTACAGGTATATCTGATTTTGACGAAAATGGTATCAAAATGTGCGCAAGACTTGAGGGAAAAAAGTCATGAAACGACAATTCAAAATTCCAAGCCGTTGCGGCGCGATCTCCGAAAATGTCGAGGGGGGGCCCCCCCCCCCCCACCCCCAGTACAGTAAGGTAAGGGTTAAAAAAGGGTTTCTCATTGAAACATGTACTAAAGGAACCTGTCTACACAGACCACTTGTTGTGTTTCCCTTGGGCGGTCGCTATAGACAGGTTTGACCAAACTACCTTATTCTGATCAAATGTTTTACACGCTCTATTTGGACTTCAGAGTTTGGAGCAAGCCTTCTCGCCATGAGGAGGGATACCTTTCTCATTCAAGAGGATTTCATTTCTCTACCCGAATCTGCCAAACATGCTTTTTAAAAGCAGTTTAAAATGCATTGATGCATCTTCATTTAGGAGGATACATCTTTCCTGTGCACTTTTCCCTTCTCACTGAAAGGTCACTGTCTTTCTTTAATTAGAATTCTTGATATGGATATGAATGATCTTGACTGAATGTTGATGTAATTAGCATAATTGCCACTCATGTAAAGTGGAATGATGACATGTACATGTCAATAGTTTAAAACAATGCATTCAAGTGCAGTGGTGGTTTCTATTTCGGTGTCATATGATATTACCTCATTACGGTTGTTGAGGCTTTGAGTAGTCTACTCAGCAGTTCCTTTACATGTACCTTTAAAATGCATCAATGCATCTTCATTTAGGAAATATCTTTCCTGTGCACTTTTCCCTTCTCACTCTAAGGTCACTGTCTTTCTTTAAATATAATTCTTGATATGGATATGAATGATCTTGACCGAATGTTGATGTAATTAGCATAATTGCCACTCATGTACAGTGTAATGAAGACACTTTCATCTATGTCAATAGTCTATTAAAACAATGCATTCAAGTGCAGTGGTGGTTTCTATTTCGGTGTCATATGATATTACCTCATGAGGGTTGTTGAGGCTTTGAGGAGTCTACTCAGCAGTTCCTTTACATGTACCTTTGTCTATAAAAGTGCAATCTCAGGTTTTAAACTTGCAATATTTATTCTTAAATAACCACCACTACCACTATTGTTAAAGGCAATATTTAAAGGGAAGGTCGGATTCTGGTGGAAATGATAATTCATTGGTAGGCTCCCTCAATGTTTTTTCAGTTTGCAAAAATATCATGGTAGAAACGTCGCCTAAAAAGGATTGCTCTCCAAATGCATTTGGAGAGCAAGCATTCTTAGATCTAAAGCATTGTCTTACACCCTGAGTTGTAATGATAATAATAATAATAGTTCAGTTCTTGTATAGCACATAATACGTTATGAAATAACATCTCTATGCGCTTCCAAAGAACTTTGGACTTTATTACCCTAGCTTTAGCTCCGGCAGCGCATTTGAAGGAATAATCCTTCCAGATACCCAATTACCTCACCTGGGTGGAGTGTGGCAAATGGAGATCAATGTCTTGCCAAAGGACATTAGTGCCCCAGCGGGACTCGAACCGCAGACCTTGTGATCGACAGTCCGGTGACATATCCACTTGACCACAACACCTCTACACTAATTTTGTTTACCCAGGGAAGCCTCATCAGCTTCAATGCTGTTCTTCCTGAGTGCCCTGCAATTGTTATTTCCCTAGCGATTGCCAGGTACCAATCTACACCCGAGTAGAGAGTGGCAGATGTGGATTAATGTCTTGCCAAAAGATGTGAGTGCCAGACATAGATTTGAACCCTCAACCTTTGGATTTAGAGTCAGGTGAATGAGCCACTATAGCATGACACCTCCATGGTCTTTATATACAGGTTTTACAGCATAGATGTACCTTTAATCCATACAAGATTTGACGCTGGATTGCTGGCCCCCGATCGGCACACCATGACCTCAGATGACCCCGCTTCGACCTCAGGGCAGATCGTCACATCCACTGTTGTTGGGCAATCTGGGTAGATAAGAGAAGTTTGAGTTACATGTCAATGAGAAATGAATCAAGGACTATTATTGAATCACAGTTCAACTATTCAGGCCATCACTATTAAATCAATTCCATAGGTTCCTGTGAATGATTTTTAATGTGCTGTTGAAAGGGTATAGATATCTCATAGTTTACAAGGTTGAATTAACTTTTAAAATTCATTGTTCATCATCAAATTTCTTTTTAAACAACATCTTCTAGATAAATATTAAAATCTTCCTACACTTGTTCATATTTTGTGTCTACAGTATAAATCTACATGGAATATCAATATTGATATTCCTATTGATTTTATCTTCATAGTTTTCAATATCATGGAAATATTTTTTCCATCACAATAATCGCCACTATCGCCATTATCATCATCATCATCACCACCACCACCACCACCACCACCACCACCACCACCACCACCACCACCACCACCACCACCACCACCACCACCATCAGAGATAGCAATATACTTCCAAAATGCCCTCATCAACTCACAATTGACTACCAGGGTATCGCTCATCACTCTCATGGGTTGCGAGAGCTGATCGTGGATGACATTGCACTCCAGCGCTAGACCGTTATCCTCTCTCATGGGCAGGTACCGCAGCTGGCTCGTGGCGTCGATACGGTTCTTGGCGTCGGCAGACACCTGCAGCGAAGCAGAGGCGCTCAGGTTCCGGCTGCCGATGAACCATTGGAACGAGGGGGAAGGGTGGCCATTGTCAGCCTGACAGGAGACGGTGGTCTGCTGGTTTTCGTTGATGTTGTCAGGAATACCAGCGATTACGGGCGGGTCAGGTGGACCTGGTCATTGAGAAGTTAAAACAAAGAAATGTTATTTTATATTTGTGTTTAGAGTCTAGTTTCGTGTTCTTGTATGCATTTCGTTTTTATACTGTAAACAATTGTACAATTCTGCCTAACAGCTGCAAGACAGAATTTTCAATGAAAATAACATTAATAACTAAATTAATTGTCATAGGCAAAATCACAATAACTAAACTTGAAGTATTAAAGATGAAAAAAAGACTATGAGGAAGAGGAAAACGGATAATAAAATAAAGGAAAGATGAGAATGAAGGCGATGAAAAGAAACAGAATGAAGGTTGACAAAATAAAGGAAACAACTAGGATAAAACTTGAAAAAAAATCTTCAACCCTTAGCACTACTACCAGGTTTTCAAACATGTGGCACAAAAATCGGGCCTTATTTTTAAACTGTTACTTGTCATATTTAGAATATGGAGGCCTTTGAAGAGCCATGCTTTTCAGGGAACATTTTTCTCTGATATGCTTCCACACTTGCATAATAACAATTATAACGCTCATAATTTTGTTGTCAATTCTCCCCAGAACTCAACCTTTTCTGTAAGCTATAAATTTCCTGGTTGGATCAAAACATAAATTATTTCATATACACTTCCTGTCACCAATTGAAAACAACAGTCCTTTCCCTTATCAAACATTTAGCTGCCAGCAAAGAAGGAAATGCTTTCTAGACAGATGGCATATGTACACAAAAAGGAAAAGCTTTAAAATGTCAGGGGAAAAAAATAAAGCAGGAATGCCAGATTTCAAGCTTTTGCATGATTTCAGACCCTGTCTCATCCCTGTTTCCTGCTATGTCAGACTGTATATTGAACAGAATTAAACATCTAGAACTCTTTTCAGCCTTATTGAGTTGTAGGCCTGGTAGGCCTCTTTAGATTCTCCTTTAATACTGAACTTGCATTGTGTATAAAGGAAGCTTCAAGAATGCGTTCTTTCCTTCCCATTTAAAAAATAAGACTCTTTAACAAACAAAAAATCCTCCTACCATCAACAGACAGTCGGACACTGGTATCATGGCTGATGCCAAACGTGGTTGCCTGGCAACGTAGAACCTGCTCGTGCTGCGCCCTGGTAGGTTGGATGATGATGCTGCTGGACGCATCCTGTAAACGACCGTCATTCATATTGGGGGAAAATACCGGTCTGCCGACCCCAGACGATACTTGGACGCCATCGAGGTACCATGTGATTGCAGAGGCTGGTCTTGTTCCGAGGCTTTCGCAGGTGATGGTGCTTGGGGTTCCTTCCTGTAGCGTCAGAGTCCCACCGTCAGAGACGATGGCAGATTGTAAAGCGATGTTCACATTCCTTGGAGGAACTGGGTGAAAGAAGGATATTATCTTGATGTTTAATGGTCAGGATGCTATCCATACATAATATCTATAATCTTAAATGCTACAGTATCTAATAGTAAGGTACAATGTAAACTAGGTAAAACAAGTAAACAAATGAAGTATTTTCCCATCAACAATTCCACTTCCGTCTTTAGAATCTTAATCTAATCTTAAATCTGTCTGATCATTACAACATACCTAAATATGCAATCAAAAACATAAGCTGATTTGAGCTGAGGTAAAGGAGTTACATTTCAAGAACTAGATAAAAAAGTAAAAATGTAACAAATAAGGAAACATGTTGGAAATTAGATTTACTGAAACTACAAGTTCCGTTGCTTGGCACAACAAGGTTGCACAACAAGATCAATTATTATTTTGTGTATGTTGCTCGACCTGTATATTGAAAGCCCTTTTTACACAATAACCCAAATCATTTGTCAGATATTCATCACATCATTCGAGGTAAAGGCTCGTTCAGATAAGATGTGGCAAAACTGCAACGTTTTTTTTTCATGACATAAAGTTTACATACGCTTCACATTTCGGTAAACAATAACACAGAGCTCCCTACCAAGACACGCAGGTCTTTTGTTGCGCGCATGTACGAAAACCGGGGCGACTTTCCAATCTGAACAGGGCTTAACTCTGGTTTTAATTGGTGTTCATTTTCATTCACTAACGAAACGGTTGTTACTATCTGAACTTAATTTAAACAAAGATATGTTACCTTGTACATCAAGCTGAATAAACTTGGTAAGGGATGATTCCAGAGCTGGATGTGTGGCTTCGCAAGTGACCGTCGTAAGATGGTCAGCCATAGACGGCGTGAAAGTCACCTCCTTGCTGGACACGGTCAGCTTACTACCGGTCACTTGCTGGTCATCTTTGTCCTCCTGGTTGATCTGGGCGGTGGTCGAAGTCCACTCCAGGTCCGCAGGTGGGTTGGCGCCAGGTTGGGTTGCACAGGTGACGGTGTAAGACTCGCCTGATAGGATGGGGACGATGTCGCCCTGCTCGTGGCCTCCCGGTGTCATAGTGTCCGAGAGTTTCAGGCTTACAGGTGGAACTAAGAGCAAGAAAAGGTAATTTCATTTAAAGCCATTTCAATTGTACATGTAGTGGCATGAGTGCACTGAGGCTACAATTATCATTATTAGGGAAGTCCAACCTTGCTAGCTAACTACTCTAGAGGAAAGCAGAAAAATAAGAGAAGCAGACTAGTGAAAGGTTGATTGAAATCAGACAAAACGATGATAAAGTTATGATTTTTTTTAAATCACTATACCTATGGGCTCTTCAAATTGGCTGAATCAGTAATGTCTGTGATGTAGTGCACCCTATTATTGAGAGAGTTACCCTGTTTAAATTAAATGAATAAATACTTAAAGTCAAAAGAAATACTCACCATTTACTACGAGTTGGGAAGTGCTCTCAGCAGCTCTATAGATAGTGGAGACTTTACACTGATAAACATTATCATCGGTCAATGAAACACCGGTGATGGTCAAATTACCACTTGATTGAAAGTCAACGTCCAGCGAATACCGGTCCGTATTTGTGTTTGTTCTGCTACAAGCGTTGGGGCAACTGACGGACGCTAACACAGTATCTCCCATTTGCCAAGAGAGGGAGGCAAAGTCTATCTTTTCGGTCTCTGGCTGATATGTGCACACTAATGTTACTGTTTCTCCTTCCTTCGCGGATAAATTGTCAGGCGTAAATGCCGTGGTAAACTGGGCATCTGCAACTGTTGAGTAGAAAGAGAAAGAAGGGAGAAATTATGCAACTAGAATGTACATGTACATGTGTGCGCAATATTTTATAAATGTACTGTACATGCATATCTCTGAGGAAAAGAAATTAAAAGCTTTTCATGGGTAATTCCATGAAAATGTCAACTTTTGGTTACAGCAAAATTGTTAATTTGAACCTTTTCTCCCTGTGTCAGTTTAATACATGATTTGCATTTCATGGAACAAGATTCAGATTTGTTCTTTTTTTTATTTGACCCAAATTTGCCATATTTTGACCCAAAAATTAAACCACACATTTTTTATGGTAAAATACATGTATGTCTAGTTAATTACAGATTGTGGTATTTTCAAAATGTTCTTCTCTTATTTTTTTAATAATACAGAGTTAATCAAATTTGGTTAATAAAAAAAACTATAAGGGGAACTTTTAAATGTCTAGTATTAACCAAAAAAAATCCAAAATTTGGATTTGGACCCCTTAGCTGCCCCAAAGTCATAGAGGAAGCCTGTTTTCAGTTTACAAGTACAATTGATTTCAATTATTATAGTATGTGTAGTGTCAGACCTGCCCTACAGGATACTTTTGCTTATGAACCAAGTCCATTTTTTTTTTGGTTAAAAGGCATTTATCATTTCAAGTTGATTCCATGTGAGTATATTTGTATCTTCCTGCATTTACATTCAACAATTAAATTATTCATACCCTTACCAAGTTTTGTGAAATTTTATTTTTGTTGAGAATGTACATCTGAAAGTATTCAACAAAGACCCTAATTAAACCGGTCCAACTTTCATTCTTGAGTTACAAAAACCAAATAAAAAAAAAACAACTTACAAGGGAAATGAATTTGTTAACTGTACATTTACATACAGCAGAGTCTGTGCATTCCTACATGTACATGTAATTGCAATAGTCAATACACAACACAATAATAAGATTCATGATTTTTGTCTCAATCGTTATGACTGGTCATTATTAAGCTGTGGGTAAAAGTACTCACCTAAATGAGGCCATGGCGTCCAAATCAGGGAAAAGACTGAGACAAGGAAGAGCTTGTAATGAGCAGCGGCTGCCATGGTAACCATTGTAATTACCTCCTGTTGCAAGACGACGCTAATCACCGTTTTCAAAATATCTGCTTTAAAATTCTATATTAGTCCCTGTTTATTATGAATGCTCTCCTTGAAACTTTTCTGCTTCTATATCCATCTGTTATCACATTGGAATATTGTCAATTTCTTGAGTTTTGGGGGACTAAATCTAAATCTCCTATTTTGGGCGTCAATTTGGCGTCTCTCTCCGAAACACTGTTCAACTTGCATATATTTCCATAGGGACTCCTAATTTCTCAACTAATTGTTCCTCTGTTTTTGATCCCCTCTCGATTCGAAGCCAATATGCAGTGTCGCTGCAGATCTGGGACTGGAAACAATTTGGCAGTGGTATTTTACGATAGCATCATTCACAATCCAGTGATTCCTTCCACCTATTCTCCTCACAGATTAGCCAAACAATTCATTTTCCTCGTCCCGTAGCTTTCTCTATAGTTTACTCAACGGATCTGAACAGAGGCTGCTTTTTCTTGTGATGTATCCTTTTGATTTCCAGCTGACTAAATGAGTAGTCCCACAAAAGATTCACCACTGTTTTGACAGCCTATTAAGCCATCAATGGGCTTTCTGCTGTATTAGACAATCCAGCGTTTGACAAACACGGCCAAACTTCCCCGCTGATAATTGCTCTAATGCCTCACTCCCAATGGGCTTTTTCCTGTCACGATGACGGCGGTAGGGGTGTACATGTAGACTATTCTGACCGACACCAAATATTCACGTGGTCATAATGGGATTGAGTCGCATCCTTCCTCGAATCAGTAACCATCAGTTTGATTATAGCCCTCCTTCCGCTCTGTGTATAAAAGAAAATAAACAAAGAATTTAATAGAATAAAACCACATTATGAACAAATATGGTTCTGTCGGAAACAATGGGATATTGTTCAATATCATCTGTGCATGGTGGAAGGTATGGTTTGTGGTTAATATCCCACAAAAGAATGATAATAATCATATTATTAAAAAACCTTTCAACTAAATGCACAATGCCAATCAAATCGGCCTGTATACGTCAACTACAGGAGTAATTTTTTTTTTAAACATTACGATAATACAATTCAATAAAAAAGGAATAGCTTTGGAATTGCAAGCTAATTGGTTGGTTGTATTTATTATGGTTGCATTAAATCTTGTGGATAACAATTTGTGCATTGGGGCAATAACATGGTAGAATAGACATTCAACTTCGCCTCCCAGCCAATATTTCATTCTAGATTTCTGCTACACAGGTTCTCGTGACCTTATCAAAAGAAGAGGGAAAAAAAGGCAACTACCTGTACATTAAAGTACAAGAGGTCGATATCTTGAGGTGCGTTTTACAAATTCATTCTGCATTCCTCGTTGATATCCTCTATAGTACATTGAACTTATTTCGGGAAGCTGTTCAAACTAATTTGCCTTGATTAACTTCAAGAAAAAGAAACAAAACTTGGAGGAAATCTAGACATAGTTCATTACACAGTAAATGACCATAAAATTAGTGGAAAGTGCAACGAAAACAGTGAAATTAGTAAAAGTGGTTAATGCCCGAGAAAACTAGTGACCCAGAGTACTATAATAATGTGCCCTGGGCTACTGAGAAAGTGCAGATACTACATGTACAAGTAAGCAGGTCAATTGAACTTGCAGTTGCCCAGCTGGACGAGCATAGTGTTTCAGTAGTTAGGTTCAATCACTTCAATGACAGTCAGCTAACTTTAAGTTTAGGTCATGGTTTTAAACTTTGAAGTTACAGTATCTTGTAGTTAGAGACCGCGCAAACGCACTCGTGGTTATGAAGCTTTAAGTTTACTCAAAGTTATAAAACACAGGCGATCTTACAGTTACTGCTATAACTACCAGCACCGAGGTGTTCCCACTCTCGGTTAATTAGTGCTGTGCGAACAAATTTAACTCTGAAGATACGCCAGAGCTTGCAGTTCGAATGACTGCTTGCCCAGTTCAAGCGACACTTTTTCACCCAAGAAACACGGTTTTCAAAGACACTCTCCCGCAGTAAACTGTGTTTTTTAACAGCGTTTTGATTTGTGATTCTAGCTTTTAAAAAAAAATCGCTTCAATACATATATTTTCCTATCGATCCTGTGTGAACCCTTGATGTTGTTAGCGGATCGTGGTTTAAAACGTAGATAGGTGACATACTTCTCGTTTTAAAAACTATAGTCTCGTGTGAACACAGCCAGCATTTCAATATTCCTTGCGTGACATTTTGAAGGGATCTACGGAGCAGTAAATCTTCAGCTGCACAGTTGTGGAATAAAGTGTACTGTATTTTGCAGCCAGTGGCGTCACTAGAGCATACTGAATGGGAAGTGTCAGACCAAATTGGCTAGCAAGTTAGCCAAGAAGTTCCCAGCAAGCACACCAAAAAAAAAAAACCAAAAAAAAAAGAATTAGATATAAAAAGAGGCTCTCAAATATAAAATTCTGCTGACAAGGATAAGGACAAGGCTTGGACCCGTCTTATCAAGAGTTGTGATTGATTTGAATTGATCGTAACTTAAAATCAATTGTGACTCCTGATTTGAATCAATCAGAGGGCTATATTAATAAGCAGGGCCCTGGTCTTTCGGTTGTCCAAAATAAATATTCTTAAAGCAACCAAAGAAATTATTCTAGTTTATCCACAGCCTACAAAATTTTAACATTTACGAACAGAAATTGAGAGAATATGACAGTGGGTGGCTGAAAAATCCACAGCTGCACAGTTGCGAAAGGAAAACGTAGTATTTCCCTCACCAATTTCTCCTGTGTAATACTTCCTGATCATAATAGGCAATCTGTCCAACTCATTTCCAAATTGTACAATAAGGGGGAAAGAGAGAAACAGAGAGAGAGAGAGAGAGAGAGTAAAGAGTAAAGAGTAAAGACTAAAGAGGGAAGAGGGGAGAGGGGAGAGAGAGAGAGGGGAGAGAGGGGAGAGAGGGGAGAGAGAGTGGAGAGAGGTGGGAGAGAGAGTGGAGAGAGGTGAGAGAGAGGTGAGAGAGAGGGGAGAGAGGTGGGAGAGAGAGAGTGGAGAGAGGTGAGAGAGATGTGAGAGAGAGAGGGGGAGAGAAGGAGAGAGCAACAGCATACACGTAGTAACCTTGCAAGATATAGACAATGGAGATATGAACAGAGGGAAGTGAGTCTGAAGGGGAAGTATTAATTAGTTTTATACTTGAAATAGCCCAAGCTTAATTAAGCCATTGTCTGAATAAAAGAGTGGCATATGAGTATCAAATCTCGTCAAATTGGCTAGTTAAAGGCCCACTGCACTACTGATAGCTACTTGCGCCCTCTATATAACATACAATGCCTAATCGGTGACCATTGGTCCCCCATGATCCTCTTTTTCTTATGTTAACTGAGAGTTGAGTTGATGAGATAACCACCTGTTCAGTGACCTTGCAGAGCGGTCTAATCCCTCCTGTAAACTAGGCAGATAAGCTTTAAAACATGAGTGACAAAAGAGTTATAAGTGTATGGGACGAGGGAAGATATATCTTACTGTAGAAATGCAGGAGGAGGGAACATAAGGGAAAAGAGAATGATGAGAGAACAAAGACAAAAATATTATTGTTATAATAAATAACTATAATAAATCTAAGCAACACTTTCTCATCCTTATCCTTATCCTCCAGAAAGACAGGCAATCAGAATTACAGCTTTAATAACCAAACAATCGTGACAATCTTCACTTCAGAGTCACATACTCTGGAAATATTGCACCAAGGAGAGAGAGAAAGGGGTGTGATTAAAATAGCATGATTGCGGTGGAATCACTCAAATGAAACTCACATTATAATATTCTTGAGTACTACTACTATATTCCTGAGTAATGCAAATAGCCATAGGCCTCCTCCTCTGTTCATTGTTGCAGGGACGTGTCATCAGGGCGGTGTTTCACAAAGATCCTAAGTTGAACCTATTTTTTAGTTGGACGTTAACAATTATTGAAAGCAGTTGGCATCTTTGAAAATATTTTGTAAAAGTCATTTCAAAGGGAATAAAATGTTGATTACAATCAATCATATTTTTTATTATCGAGGGGATTTCATGTTCTTGATGTGGAATTTATAAAAAGTCTAAATTACTTAAATTTTTGCTTTTGAATATGTGTTAATATTTTAAGGATATGAATGGCTCTCCATAATTTTCAAGTCCAACTTGGAGTTAAGTTTAAGTAAGCATCTTTGTGAAACACCCCCCAGATTGTCGCATGGAATGTACAGTGAATTTTCTATTTATAACGTAAATCACAGTTATTGCAAAATGAGTGTAATATCATATTGTCGACCCAACATGCTCATAAAAACTAGAATTTGGTGACAGAAAATTAAAATGAAAGTGAAATCTCAACTTGTTTCAGAGGTAATCAAAGTGCACTCCTCAGAGATAAGAACACTTTTACACAAACAAAAATCACCGTTTAGTAGCCAACCCTTTCCACCCCTGACAGACGCTCCAAACAGCGTTTCCAAAACGTTCAGCTATGAGTCCTGTTGTCGAGAAGAAAAATATGAGAGAAATGAACAGATCTGTCATCGATCAAAACGAGCTGTCTCAAAGCTGTCTCGATCTTTTCGCCTCTTGTTCCTGTCGTTAATTACGTCTTGCTCTCTGAAGACGGCGAATGACCTTTTTGTTTTTGTTGGGAAGGGGTTTTCCCCCATCCACAGCTCAGCATGGATGCACTTTTGTAAAATGACAAATGGCTATTTTGAGTGAAAGGGGATTTTCAACACATGGGTGTGTTCGGGCGTGTTCTTTTGCACTACAGCACAGTAGGTTCACACTCTTTCCAAATGCGATCTACTGTACATGTACATGTACATGCACTTCATGAATATGAATCATCAAAAATGCCCCCCCCCCCTCCCCCGTGAATCGTAACACGATATCCTAATATTCACATATTAATACACAATTTATCTCCCTTTGTGAGCATTATTTACGATGTGCTAACAACCATCCACAACTTAATTGGTTTCCATCTTTCATTGTGTACCCGTGGCCTTGTTTACACTCTCTCAATGACAAACAACTTCTTCCCATTAAGGCTCCCATCCCAAAAGGCAAGAGACTGTATGAACCGATTCCGAAAATACCCATTTGCAAATTAAATGAGATTTAGTGGTGCACATCAGATTGACAACAGTAACACAACTACATTTGTAGCACTAGTTTATAAACAACACATAGATTATCTGGGCCATACAGGTGTAATTACTTCATTAAAAACTTATTATCAATACTAAATACTAAAGTTCTATGACAAATTAGCTCAGATCCAATGATGCTATTTTAGTAGCTTATACATGTACAGTAAATGTAATTTGTTTTTGATACAAGAAGTAAAAGGTTTTAGGAAATAGGGTCCACTTTATCCCCTTTACACCATCATTGTCACTTGCCATTTATTTGTATGTAAAATAATATAAATTTTTTTACACTTGGATATTTTTCTATTTTTTTTTTTTTTGATTTTTTTTTATCGCTTTCTTAAAAGTTTATTTTTGAAAGAGCTTTATATGATATTCTTTGTAAAGGGTTTGTATTCTTTCCATAAAATTAAATATGTACAGTACAGTACACAATACACAGTATTGTAAATGTAGGCATGTAGACATATTTTCTTGCATTCTTCAAATTCTGTAGACATTAATATTGAACATGCTCTGAATATTAATAGGAAAACAGATGTCCCATAGATTAAGAGCAATGCCACGCTGCATTTCATTATTAATGAGTCATCAATAAATGTCATAATGAATGCCTTATTAATGATACATTGCCTATAATTACTCAAAAT